TTGTGTGTGCGTCGCTTTACTCCGGCGGCTTCGTAAGCGCGTCTATTCATCGGCGAGCGTGCGCATCGGTTTGTATGGTTTCGAAGCACTCAGTCGTTAGCTGAATACCGTGCGTGAATAGGGTACGGACTCAGCGTCACGTGCAACTTCGCGGCTAGGGCTAACGGCGGACAGTGGGGAGTGAGACAAAGCTATTACAACTACTACGCGGTGTCTTCCAATTCAGAATCTTACATTGTTCTATGCAGGGATATGAAGCGCAGTAGGTCGTTTGGGTCTTTGCTAGTTGGTAATCCTTGGCGAGCGTCTTACAGCTCTGTGCGCGGAGCACCAGCCGCGGGTGCCGACGTGGCCTGTTGGCAGCCTCCTGTAGCTGGACTGGCTCGATGGCCCATAAAAGTTTCAGGTGGCGTGATTCTTCTGAATTGTCGATTCTTCTGGAGTACTAGAGTTGACGTTATCGTGCTTTAGTACGCTGTGTTTCATGACCTTTACCCGTAGGCCTAGCAGACTTCCCTCGATCGACAGATGAGAATGTTATCTAGACCTCTGGCAGGCAAGCCCAACATGCTGCACTGCGTAGAACCGAGCTTGCATTATTCTTCTTAATGTCATAAGCTTCAATGGAAATGGGATCTCGTGCTGCCACTTCAACAGAGGGGCTCAGATTGTGACACGTATCAGTCGTCACCCATCGCAGTCACTGGATATCTCATCATGGCGGGCATTGATCTGTTGATTTCTACAAGAAAGCTCCGGCTAGCTCTGAGGCACAATGTGACCAAATGGACTATGTGCGCGTGCACCTGCCTGCTGACAAAGGAGCGTGGTGAACCAGTCGGACTCAAGAAATGAAGGGGGCAGAAGCAGTGGGCAACTATCGCAAGCTCTTCCAGCTGATCCGCACCATTTGTCCCAAGAAACCAGGCGTCAGTGAGTACAGGTCAGAGACATGCGGGCTCCCTGACCCATAATAGATCTCGAGGCGCGGTATGGCTCTGTTGGGTGAAGCACTTCGAGAGCAGTTCAGTTGTCCCCCTGCTTCTGCACTCCTCCAACTCAGGTGTTGCAGGCTGAGTCATGGCGGTTAGTTGTAGACTCCCGGAGGTGGAGTCCGGAATGCCTTACAGCCCTTAAGCATTTTCGTGCTGCTGGCCTGATTCGTCGCATCCGCACTAGTATAGTAGTAAAAGTCTGCAGAGCACTGACATCCTTGTTACAACAGGTCTTGAAGGCAGGGGTCATCCGGCTAACGAGTGAATCAATTACAGTGGCGTCAATACAAGAAGAGCATCGCCCCGACTGTTCTATACCACAGAGATGTTATGCTAAGCACTTGTGGTAACCAAATTTACTGCATCGGTTATCGTTCGTCGCCTCTTGAGTAGGCGCGAATCTCCGATTAGGAAAAACAGGCAGGCTTCCACCAGATTACGGAGCTGTCTTGACACATATTTACTCGGCGAAACATCGGTCAAGAGAACGGATGTACTGTTGTTGATGATGATGTGAAACCCAAAATGCGAGGGTTTCGACGAATATTGAGGTTGCATTGACCGTATTCTTACATTGTAGGTCAATTGTGCGGAGCATTTTATACTTTTGCATAGTAAAATTTTTTTTAGCTGCACAGTAGCCGCAGGTAGTTGTCGGTTCGTTGCCCATCCGTTTCCGGTAGCTCAGCCGGCTTGCTCCTGTTGCATTTTATGCTCTTTTTTTCTTTCAGGTATTGCGCTAACTGTCGCTGAGGTGTTTCCACCTCTAGCTAAGTGTATATGTGTGTGAGTGTGTGTTGGAGCACCGCCATGTTTATCGGCGGCTATACGCCGTGTTCTGACATCAAAGGGCTTTCAATTCGCTGATACGATGTTATGCCCTTTGGGACTGTCGACTTAGAAAAAACAAAAATATGTATTCCATGAAGACGCGCTGTGCGCGCGTAAGCTCGGCGGCTGTCTTCCGCCCTTCAACGCTCGAGACTGTGGTATGAGACAAGTTTAAAGCTGTCACCCTTTCCTGTTCTAACTTCGACATTGACGAAGTATGCAAACGGCGTTCGCCGGGCACAAACTGCGAAGGGGTGGAGCTTCTTCCTGTTGAACGACTTCTCGACTTTTGTATGCCGACGACATTGCGGCTAATCTGTGACCAACACGAACTTGCAAGCTGCAATGGATAACTTAGCTCTGGCTGTCAGTCGTTCTATCGGTTGATGCTTTGTGCGCCCTCGAAATGCAGTTTTCCAAGATTGCGCAGGGATCTCACAAATTCTCGTGACCCTTGTGTTGATCAGCGGGTCGTCCAGATGTATCTGGGTACGAATCTGATTAAAATATGCTTGGTGTGCTATTAGGGCAATCTCCGCCACTTGGGGGACTTGACATTACCCTTCTCCCTGAAGCGTTAGATGTGTTCATGCGCAGCCGTGCTGTTCGATCGTATTGCAGGCTGTGAACTTGTGCGCCATTGTAGATCGGCAGGACGTAAAGTGGTTTGTGACGTTCGACCAAACGGTTGCTCGGCCAGTTTGCTCATATCTGGTGCTATAACGCGCCCGCATGGCATATGAGCGCTTTTTCGGTGCCTGTGTTTATGGCATACGATTAGGAAGTGAACCGCCGTCAAGCATTGTTGATTCCACAACCATCTCTTGCCGATGGTGCGTTGACGTCTGACATGGTTGCTCATGGTACTGATGGCACGGCCGACCCTTGCTCCGCGACGTGCCGTTCTGCAGGCAGACCGCGGCGTATGGATTGAAAAAAGGAGAAAGGGAAGCTCAACCCGCGCGACATTGTGCAGGCGCAAGGATTAGCCTTGTCCCTTATTTTCGACTTTGGCTTCAGTTCGGAGGCTTCTCACGGCTACCGGCTGGTTAGCGTGCTGAAAGATTCTCGCTAACCGTCCTGGTGTTGGGCTAGGAAAACCGACACTTCAGTGGCAGCTTCGTGGTTGTGTTTCTTTGCCCTATACCCTTACAATCACGATCTTATTTCTAGACGCATAATATAACCGTTTTTTTGTGGCACCAATAAGCCTGCTGCTAGAGCTCTCTGTAACCATCGTCCATCCGTTGTTACTGAGTCTGATCGGCTGGCGTGCCTTCTAGTTTGCCTTAAGTTGTTCCGCCTTTCTCGCGTATTGGCACACATAGCTTATGTTTTCTCACTTTCCAGCGTAACATGTATAAAGTATTTTCTCTCTTAATGTCAGTTTAAAATCACATTTCAGATTGCTAAACTCTGCGCGTATCCATCTCATTGGCTCAATTGTCGACAGACTCTTCGAAAATCTGCCATATCCATGTTACATTGCGCCCACAAATTTGTTAAGCTGTGTTTTAGAAGGTAATTTTCGTTTACATCACCAAGTTCTTTTTAGCTTTCCCCGTTCAAGCGCAGAGCTAAGGATGGGAACTTGGGCAAATCGATTGCGCTCACGAGTTACAGTGGGGCCTTATCCTATACGGTAAGTTTTCAGCATGTTCCACCACACTTTACTAGCCCGAAAACGCATCTCGCTTTCATTAATTGCGAATCCATTTTCCGCTGACATCTTTGTGACTCCATTGAGATTTCTTTTGAATGCGCGGGAGAGTAGAGATGCAAGCTAAAATCTTGTGGTTGGGAGTTTGGGGGCTTATCGATATTCTTTTGTGTGACTTGCATGTTTTTAAGAGTTTTTCTCTGTTGTTGTCCTTGGCGTGTGCAACTGCACTAACTATTGGTACGTATTTTTCACCATCCCGAGAATTTGATTTCCACTTCCTGCGCGCGCTGAATCTATGCACTGTGTTTTATCGCTGGTCGAGTAAAACCAAGTAAGGCGTCCTTTAGCGTAGGTGCTGTCATTGCTTCCTACTTGTGCCTCACTTTTACTCGGATGACTCAGACCACATTAGTATGACACTTTCATTGCTTGCTTCATGGTGTTGCTAACTTGACTCATCCGCACTAATGACCAGATATCTTCATATTCTTGGTTCGCTGATGCAGTTCGAAGGAAATTGCTACTTCCGTCACGATGATGCTCGGGGGGGGGGGGGGGTGGAGGGGAAGGGGGGGGGGGGGGGGGGGGGGGGGGGGGCTCACCAGTAAATTGCAGACTTTCGTCGAAACGTTTTTCACATTGTAGACAAAACTGTGCAACCGTTTTGCACTGCGTGTAAGATTTCAAACTGCAACCTCTTCCGTGGACTGAGTCATGGGACCCTCAAATCTATCCTAGGTGTTACCTATGCTGGTGCGCTCTTTTACTTTCTGACTAGCTGTAAACAATCGGCAGGTTTGGTTCAAAGTCTACAAAGACCCAGATTGTGTTTGTAATTAAGGCCAATCCCATATTTCCGAGTTATGAAATCCCGATGACTAGTGATCACATTTTGTTTGAAAACTCTTGTGCACTTCGTACTCAGTGGCTAATTCATGTCATGCGTATTTGCGATATCTTCACACTCGTTTTAGTTTTCTTACGTTTAAGTTTCCTCATAGTGTTACGTTAGTATAGATATATATATATATATATTATATGTATATATATATATATATACGCGCATATATTTATATATATGCGTCGGCGGCATCCGTGCTTCGGATGTGCCTAGTCACTGTGGCCAGCCACAGGACGCCTGCGCCTACAGAGGGACCATGGATGGCTTGCGCTGCACCACCCACAGCTCCAACCACACACCCCATATCCAGTGTAAACCCGAAGGAATAAGACCGGGAGGCATGCGGATGGGAGCCACGTTTCATCAACGGAGCCGGCCCACACTCCTTCACAGGCAAACACAAGCACGCTGTATTTGGGGAATCAAGCGCACACAAGGCGGTGGCTGGACCGTAGTCCGCTCCACACTGAGTGCATGGAACCACTCTTCGAGCCTAGCACGGCCACAAGGACCGTGCACCCCGTCCCCTCCAGCAACGACCAACTGTCTCCTGGAGCCAGTATGGACGAGGTAGTGGGTAATAGACAGGTAGGCACCTTGTCAACATGCACATCAAGCGCAGCCACACCGGGGATATCAAACAACAGCCAATCACTTTAGAGAGAGAGAGCGACAAAGAAAATAAATCGATTAATGCATAAGAAAACGGTGACATATCTTGAAGTAATGAGCATCTGAAGTAGATTGTTTACAGAAAGAATGCGAGATAAGTTCACGAGGTCAGAAAGTATAATTTACGGAAATGCACACACAAAATGTTTTCATAAAGGACTAGAATTGGCTTAAGTGACGTGTGCAAGTTTATAGATGAACGTACAGGTAGACATTTATACGAGAAAGCAAAGCATTGGGACAAAATTGAAAACCCACCACCTGAAATAAACAGACTTAGCACGCAAGCAAACGGTTGCAACTTTGCGGGAAATGCTATAGTTGTTCCCCTTCTGTGACACCTGTGTTAGCGCCATTTACTGTCTATTTCACATCCTCTTGAGTCACTTCACCTGACCTTACTGTCGAAGGCTTCACTCACACAGTTTACTATGTAGAGACACCTATAGTGAACGTGAAACATTTACGCTTACAATATATCGCGACACCGGCCTTTATCGGCCATTGTACCTACCGAATATCCATTGATTTCCCTAATCGTACGTCCCAATTTAATAATCCTGCACGGTGTGTTGCACTGCTACGCTGCTATCTGCTCTTCTTATGCGTACCACATTGCTTGTACTTCTTGTCAATACACGTTTGGTCCAGTAGCACTTTTCGTTCTCTATAATCTCGGGCCATGGAAGCGTGCACCCAACCAGTTGATGATCCAAACTGCAAACACGGCTGACCCACCACACAAAAATTTTTTTTGAGGATCTTGTTCTATTTATTACATATGAATCACTTTTGCAGAATATATATATATATATATGGTTGGTGATATCCGGTTTCGGATTTGCCTATTATTGAGGAAAGCAATAGGACGCCTGCGCTTACAGATGGACCATGAGTGATTTGCGCTGCACCACACGCAGTTCCACCCACACACTCCATATCCGGTGTAAACCCGAAGGAATAAGACCGGGAGGCATGTGGATGGGAGCCACTATTCATCAACGGAGCCGGCCCACACTCCTTCAACAAGCAGAACAGAAGCATTCTGGCCTAATTGGGAAATCATGCACACAAGAGATACACATGGCGGTGGCTGTACCGTAACCCGTTCCATACAGGATGGAGCCACTCTTTGAGCCTAACACCATCACGAGGACGGTGCACTCCATCACCTCCAGCGACGACTAACTGTCTCCTGGAGCCAGTATGGACCACGTAGTGGGTAATAGACAGGTAGGCACCTTGTCAACATGCACATCAAGCGCAGCCATACCGAGGATATCAAGCAACAGCCAATCACTTTGGAGAAAGATAACAAAGAAAATAAATCGAGTAATGCATAAGGAAATGTGACAAAATTTTAAATTAATGAGCATATGAAATAAACTGCTTATAAATGAATCCGAGATAAGTTCGCGAGGTCGGAAAGCATATTTTACGGAAATGACACAAACACGTAAATGTTATCGAAATTAACTACAATTAGCTTAAGCGACGTGTACAGGTTTATAGAAAAGAGTATAGGAAAGCATTTATACGAGAAAGAAAAGTGTTAGGACAAAAATGAAAACCAACCACCTGAAATAAAGAGACTTAGCATGCAAATAGGCGGTTAGTAAATCGAAGGCAGCGTACCTACAAACGCTGCGCTGGTTCTGCCTACGTTCTCTGCAGCACCCGTCGTCGCTTCGGTAGTGGTCCCGAGTGGCCTCGCTCATGGCTCACTAAGCCTGCCTGACGCAGGCACTCGCGACCGCATGTGCTACAGCACCATGCGCTCGATGTCGATGGAATACAACCCATCGGTGCTTGCCGCTTCCGCACTTGTCGCTTCTTCTCTGCATGTATGAGGTCATTCTCCCGCACTTCGACTACTACCTTTATGAGCAGATCGCGCCATGCACGCCGATCAACCGCCTTCGATTCCCATGACCTGCAATCAAGATTAGAACGTGAGAGGCTCACTTTGATCATGTCCTGGTAACGTAACTTTGGTTTCCCAGCATGCCGCTTCCCAATACTCAGCTGACCGTATAAGAGTTGTTTCGGTAACCGCGTTGAATCCATACGCCACACATGACCGAGCCACCTTAGGAGTCTCAGCAAATGTATGCAGTCCACTGCATACATACCACTTTGTCGCAACACTTCTGTGTCAGCAACTCTGTCGCCCCAACTGATGCGCAAAATTCGACGCAAACACTGCTGATGGAACCGCTCGAGATATCGCACATCCCGCCGGTACATCGGTCCACGTTTCACTGCCGTATAGAAGAACGGACAGCACCATGGATTTGTACACCATCAGCTTCGTGCCAATGGTAGGCTGACGGTTGTTCCACACTCGGTGACCTTGTTTCCCGAATGCCGCCGCTGCCTTCGACACGCGAATACGCAGCTCACGGTGTAGCTGCTGATCAGTCGACATCACACTCCCAAGGTAGCAGAAGCGGGAGGTGATTTCCCATACTTCAGCACCAATGCTGATTCGCGGCAAAATTGATTGCACTTCTGGAGAAGGCTGAAAGAGACAGACAATTTTGCTTGTGTTGATGGTGAGCCCGAATTTGGCCGCTGTCGAAGCCAGAGCACTAGTCATGTGCTGCAACTCATCCGCACTGTGTGCGAAATACGCACAGTCGTCAGCAAACAGCAACATACGGATAGTTGTCTCACAGACTAGAGTTCGCGCACCGAAACGACGGATGTTCAGCAAACCACCATCAATACGGTGCTCCACACGAACACCGTAGGCACAAGCCGCATCAAATCACAAGACGTCATTGCATGAAGATATATATTAAACAGGGCAGGAGCAAAGACGCAGCCTTTTTTCACACCAGAGACAACTGCAAAATCATCCGAGGTCTCTCCACTCAGCTGCACCCTCGCTCGCATACCACTGTGCAGACATTCAATTTAACTTACAAACTTACGCAGGCAACCAAACTGACCCAAGGCCAGCCACAATGTCTCAAGGTTCACCGTGTCAAATACATTGGTGAAGTCAACAAAATGAGAGTACAACGGCTGGTGTTATTCGCTGCACTTCTCTAGCAACTGACGAGCCGCAAACACCATATCAATAGTGCTGCGACCCGAACGGAATCCACATTGCTCTTCCGCCACGTTTGGTTCCACAACCTGACTGACGAGGCGGTTGAGCAGGATTCGGGCAATCACCTTGCCCACACAACTCAGCAAATTGATGCCACGATAATTCGTGCAACATTGCTTGTTCCTTTTGCCCTTGTACAGTGGTAGCACAAGGGCATCCTTCAGCTTAGCAGGCACCTTCTCCTCAATCCATATGCGTTGCACTGTGGTGCAGCGCAGTCACCAACGCATGTCCGCCGCGTTTCAATACATCAGGCGGGATCCCGTCGGCCCCAGCACACTTGCCGTTTCGCAGCTGGGCAAGTGCTCTCTACGTCTCATCCAGTGTCGGCGTGCCCGCCAGACTCGCCTTCACATCGTGCTGCTTGATGGCAGTTCAATGTAGGCCAGTCGATCTCTGAACGGTTCTTCAAGAGACAGTCGAAGTATTTCGGCCAGATTTGCATTATTTCTGCAGTCCGTGTGCAGGTAGCGCCTGAACTACCATCGATCAGTGTCCTCAGCGGCTCCAATCTCGGTCCATACACCGCCTTCAAGGAGTCAAAGAATTCCTTGTGTTGGCGGCGTTCGGCGAGGCATTCCGTCTGCATCGCCTTCTTCGTCCACCATGCATTTTTATTGCGACTGAGCTCTTAGGTCAGTCGCCGTCGAAGTTTGCGAAACTGACTCTTCTTCCCCAAGTCACTGGGGTCTGCGACATGTGCAGCAAATGCTACATTCTTCTCATATCCCAATGCGCCGATCGTCGCATTGTGCTCATCAAACCATTCAGGCCGCTTACAATTTGCGCGTCCAATGCTCTCCTCGGCAGCAGCTGTCACCTGGTCGCAAATGTGGTGCCACAGGTCGCCCACTGCGGTTATGCCTTCCACATCGCACAGGCGTGCAGCCATCGCCTTCTCCACCTCAGTACGTTTCGCCTCCCTATGTTTCGTACGTTTCGTACCGAGGAAGA